GTAGGACTTGCTTTAAATGCCTCCTCCGGACAGGGCCTGTCACTCACCCTGTCCCCATGGCTTGCGGTCACCTGTCCCATCCAGTGGTGCAGTCCCTGGGTGTTAGGTGAGGAGTGGCGTCTCTCCCAGGAGGGGGTCAAGAACGTGGGGTTGAGCAGAACAAGCAGGCTTGCCACCTGAGAATATGGAAATACCCTTGGCAGCAGCCCGAGGGGTTGCACTTCCTCAGGTCTGGGTGCAAGCCCCGGGCCGGTACCTTGGTTTCCTTTCTGTCCTCATCTGCACACCCCCGTTCCTGTTGGTGTTCTCTCTGCCATACTCAGGGTCCGTGTGGTTGCCAAGGTCACTGTGATGTTGGGGCTGGTGGGGGTGGTTCACATGTGCGTGCTGGTGCCTGGGAGGCAGGTGGCCTCCTGTGTCTGTGTGTCTGCACAGGGCGCTTCTGACCCCGGGGAGGCATGGCACAGCTTGTCCTTCCTGCCAGGCCACAGGCCACACCTCGGTGGCTCTCTGTCCAGCCCTCCTGAGGCCTGTGCAGGAGGCCTGTGCTCACAGCCAGCTCTGTGCTTACTATTCCTGTGGCAGTTCTGAGGCTCAGGCCCAGGAACTTGCTGCCCCCAGCACCACCTCGGCTCCTTCAGGGTTACCTACTGTGTGATGAGTGTGGAGACAGACCCCGGACTCACCAAGCCCATCCCCGGTGTGACAGCATTAGCGAGGAGTATCCAGCTCGTGCCCTTTGACTGAGCCCAGCTTACAACACCACCTGCCCCCCCCCGCCCTGGCCCACACACACCACCAGCCAAATCCTCCACCTGCCATGTGGCCTGGCCTGCTTGTGGTCGTGACAGGGCCTCGGCAGGGCTTTCGCCTGCTGGCCTCACCCAGCAGTGGCTTGCTCCCTTCCAGCTCCTGGACATGAAGATCTTTGTGGACACGGACTCCGACATCCGCCTTGTACGGCGGCTTCGACGGGACATCAGTGAGCGTGGCCGTGACATCGCAGGGGTCATCAAGCAGTATAACAAGTTTGTCAAGCCAGCCTTCGACCAGTACATCCAGCCCACCATGCGCCTGGCAGACATCGTGGTGCCCCGAGGTGAGCATACTGTGGGTTGACAGATGGGGATGCTCTACCCATCACCCTCCTGCTGGTGTCACCCTCCTGCCTTCCCCACCCCAGGGAGCGGGAACACAGTGGCCATCGACCTGATCGTCCAGCATGTGCACAGCCAGCTGGAGGAGGTGAGCCAGCCAAGCCAGGGTCCCGTGTCCCAGCCCCACCGGCCCCCTGCCACCACCACCCATAGCCCCTGCTCTAGTTGCCTTATGTGCTTCCTGTGTCCTGCTTAGTCAGCCCTATGTACTGCAGACATGGCCACAGTTCCCTGAGAAAGTGGGAATCAGGTGCCCCCAGCGCTCCCAGCCTCAGCTGGGCCTTCCACAGAAGGGGCCACTCTTATCCTTCCCACCCTTTGGGAGGACTGTTGGGTTTTGGTGCAAGTCCCACGACCTGAGCACCCTTGAGAACCCTGACCAGAGGTCACGTGTTCTGGGCTGGAGGCCTGAGGCTCTGCCTGCCCAGGTCAGAGGGTGCCCAGGTCAGAGGCTATAGGGAGCTGGCCCCTTCCTGTGACTGGCAGTCTACTACCTGGGACCATCCCTCCATGGGGGCTGTGGCATGTGCATTCCTGGGTGGGGTGTCTGGATGGGGCACACGGCAGCAGCAGGCTGTCCGGTGACTACGAGGTGAGCATGCTGCCATCATTGACGCATCACCTGTTCCCTTGTCTCCTGTGTCGCTGCCGCAGCGAGAGCTCAGTGTCAGGTAAGCTATCTCATACCTGTCTGTACAGACGGAGGCATTCCCAGCATCCATGGGGCTAGGAGCCTGGGTTGTCCTCACCCACTGTGCCCACCTGTGGCAGCTCTGCTCCAGGCACAGAAGGGGGTGTGGTGACCCCCACACTGCTTCTGCCTCCCCTTCTGGGCAGATGAGGAAACTGAGGCACAGAGAGGTTAAGGGACTTGCCTAAGGTCACACTGAGTCCTGACCCTAGGCTGGCCAGACCTCTCTGGAGGCTCCTTCCCAACCCCAGAGGCTCAGCTGTCCTGAGCCAGCACTACCTGACCCCAGGGTAGTAGCCACAGGCATGTCCCTCAGCAGCACCTCTGCCCCATCAGAGGGACCAGTCTGGACAGGCCAGGGCCATCCTGGGAGTCCTGGAGCTGCACCTCTCTCCTGTCTGCACACAGTGGGCAGCACAGGGAACCCACCTACAGCCTGGGCTTTCTGTGGAGTCAGGACATGCTGGACTGAGCTACCTGTTGGAGATCCCCCCAGTTCATGCTCAGAGCCCCTAAGCTGCCACTGTGCTGGAGCATCCAGCTTCTGCCACTGTGTGGGTCCTTGGGCTTACCCAGGCCTGGCACACACAGGTCTCATCATGTCAGGTCCACTACAAGCCTCTGCTCTGAGAAAAAGTTTCCAGGGTTTCAAACTGGAGAAAACACCTAAACATGGCCCAGCTACATTTTCCTTTCTCTGGTCAGCCAAGGAAATAGCAGCCAGCAGCTGGCGCCCACCTCCAAAGCCCCAGGAAGTGTTCGTGGGTAGGCGGGATGCCGACCCAGCGCTCACACCCTCCTGGGTCTTCCTGCTGCCTGGCCCCCACCCGCCTTTGCTTCTCCCCAGGCCAGCTGACGCTGCGGGACCCTGTGCTTCCCTGCTGAGTGGTCTTTTCTCTGTTCTTTTCCTTCTCTGTAAACCCTGGGGTTACCTGCCCTGTTCCCTCCCCGACACATTCTTCACCTGGCGAGCAGAGGAAGCTGCGCTGGGATATGTGAGGACTGAGTGCAGTGCGCTGGTTGTGGTGCCCTGGTGGGCTGTGCTGGGGCTGCACCTGCCTGCCCCCCTTCCCGCCTGCCTGCCCCCCAGCTCCACGCACATCCCCGCCTGCCTACCCCTCCTTTCCCTCCCCCTACTCCTGCTCCCTTCCCTCCGCCAGGCAGGGGCAGCAGGGGTGGCTTCAGCCAGCTTTGACCCCCTCTCCTGAGGGGCCTCTCATGGGAGGGGGGGGGTCAGGCCCTGCCCCAAATGTTCAGCTGTTCCCTTAGGGAGAGGTGTCCTGGGGTGGGACTCTTCTGTAGGCCTGAGGCCCCACCCTCACTGCCTGGCACCCTGCTTCCAGTGAGGGAGGCTCACCGGCAGCCTTGCTTCCTACCTGATGGCCAGCTGCTCCGCTGTCCACTGTGTCCCCTAACCTTTGCCTTGTCCTTGAGGGGGCGGGGTATCTCCGTAAGGGCCCTCCCTCCAGATGAGCCACGGAGGTGGGGTTCCCACGTGCACATCCTGCCGGCCCCACCACATCAGCCCTCACGGTGTGCGACGTGGGAGGACAGGGCTGTGGGAGAAGACACCCTGCTCCAATCCCCAACCAGTTTGTGTCCCCAGGGCCGCGCTGGCCTCTGCACACCAGTGCCACCCCCTGCCCCAGACGCTGAGTGTCCTCAAGAGCACGCCTCAGGTGCGGGGCATGCACACCATCATCAGGTGAGGGCCCGGGGCGCCGCGGGGGGGCGGGCAGCGGCGGCCCCTTGCTGAGCGCCCGGCCCGCAGGGACAAGGAGAC